TAATAATAATAATAATAATAATAATAATAATAATAATGATAATAGCAATAATGATAATGATAATAATAATAATAATAATAATAACAATAATAATGATAATAATACTAATAATGATGGTGATGATAAAGATGACAATAATGATTAAAACAACAACAACATGATATAAAAAAATACATATACTGAATAACAGTGAAAAGAGAACATATGGTGATGATGCAAAAACACAGCATACGAACACTTACAAAAAAACCGCACACGCACAAAAAAAGTAATAATAATAACAATTAAAACACCGCAAAGATACAAATAACGGCCAAGTACAACAGTTATGTGGTTATGAGTAGGAAGTAAATAAGTAACCCAACGAGGTAAAATTCTGTTGATAGGTAATTGTTACTGATAGGTAATTCTGAACAAAGACATACCGATAAATACTTAAAGATTTCCGAAAAATCCTTATTTTTTTGCGTTGTCATGAGTTTTGAAAACTGATTATTTTTGTCATATGTTGCAGATACCCATTTTTTTAAAAAAATATTATTATCACTAATGTTTATGCGTCCTTCTTTGATATTACCGGCCGATACTGGTAAACTTCAATCACTTTCCAACGCCTGATAAACAACATAAGTTTCGTTTGACGTGAGTAGGTCACTCTCTTCAAAGGTCATTAAAGGTCGGTGTTTACGGACCTTGCTTAAGTGTAGACAGACTCTACGTCCGCTACAGATAAGACGCCACATAACAACCCGGCTATGAATATGATCGCAAGTACCTACGTATATCTACTATAACTCATGGACTTAGCGACAATTGATGACCGAAGATGACGTCACAGATTTATAATTCTGAGTGACATCCGGGTCTCTGTGAAGTCCATTTGTGTGGATTTAATATTCTTTATCATCTGATATAAATCTTCGATCTATTACTCTTGTTTTATTATGATTCAATGATTTATTTATGATTCAATAGCAATCATCGAAATGCATTATTTTTCTTTCTTTTCTAACTAACGGGTTCACGAAATCACAGAAAACATGAAGTCAGTGGCAGTGGCCTTTCATTGCTCTTCCTTTTCACCTAATGTAAACATCAGCGCATTCTTGTGTCAAGAGTGTTACGAGACATATCAAGGAGGGAACGATGAAGAAGACTCTACAGCTGCGGCGACGTATGCAAAAAAAAGAAGAAAAAAAAAAAAAAAGTACAGGAGGGTTTCTTTGAACCGACCGAGCGACACGGTCATGACCAGAGGGTATATTTTCACTCAGTGGCCGAAGTTCATTGCCACAGGAGGAAAATTCTAATAGAGAACTGTTATAATTTTATGGCCTTATTTACAGAAAAGGATAAGGATGTGTGTGTGTGTGTGTGTGTGTGTGTGTGTGTGTGTGTGTGTGTGTGTGTGTGTGTGTGTGTGTGTGTGTGTGTGTGCGTGTGTGTGTGTGTGTGTGTGTGTGTGTGTGTGTGTGTGTGTGTGTATGTGTGTGTGTATGTGTGTGTGTATGTGTGTGTGTGTGTGTGTGTGTGTGTGTGTGTGTGTGTGTGTGTGTGTGTGTGTGTGTGTGTGTGTGTGTGTGATTGCTCGAATGTGTGTATGTGTGCGTCTGTTTGTGTTTGTGTTTGAGTGCGTGTGTGAGCATCCAAACCATGACGAACACGTTTCATTTAACAACATGGATGCAGAAGATGAAACTAACATGCCTTCGCTTGGACTCAGATACCTCCATTGATCCCCAGAAGTCTCACTGTATCAAAAGAGTCGAGACACTTTTTCAAGTCACGTACGAAGAGGATTCGAACGCGCAGTCATGTCGCTGAGCCTGCCAAGAGGAATCGCTCAAGGAGAAAGAGAGAGACAGATAAACTTGCACAAGATCCTGCATATGACCCGGGGATAAATAGGGCACAGAAGAGAGGAGGCTAAGAAAGCAAGAAAGAAAGGGATAGATGATTGGTATTTTTGGAATGAGTATTTTAATTCCTCGTATTATGAAGAAAAGGAAATGTGGTACGTGAACAAAGCAATGTGAGAGACGGAGGTTATTTCAAGGTTAGAGAGTACTGAACTCTCCTTCCGAAATTTTAATAATAATAACTAGTAATGACAATAGTAATGATAATAAATATAATAATAATAATAATAATAATAATAATAATAATAATAATAACAATAATAATGATAATAGTAATAACAATAATGATAATAATAATAATAATAATAATAATAACAATAATAATAATAATGATAATAATAACTATAATGATGATAATAATAATGATAATGATAATACTCACAATAATGATAATGATAAAAATGACAATCATAATAATAAAAACAATAACAACAACAATAAAACAAACAAATACATAAATAAACAACCATCCAAAAAATCAATAAAGAAAGGCATACACGTTACCGAACAAAGCACAATGAGAGAAGGAGTTAGTTCAAGGTTACGTCCAGAATTAAAATGAAGAGGGAGCTCAGCTGTGA